GATTCAGGCAGGGATTAAAGGTGACTCCCTGGGACACAGGGAAGCAACAGAGCTGCAAGGGTCAGCCTGGGATGGGACTCTTTCGAGGCATCCTGTGCTCCAGCTGGGACTAAAACCAGTGTCATTCCCACCTGCAGGAGATGCACAGTGTGCACATCAACCCCTGAGTGCTGGGAGCTCTCCCTCCCAGCTCTGCAGCTCCTCATGAATACCTGAGGCCAATCAAGCTGTCAAAGTGCCTCCCTGACGAGCCACAGCTTCTGCTTTTCCTGCTGCTGCTGTTGATTAGAAGGACAGGAGAGACAGAATCAGCTTATCCACATCATCCAAGCAGCCTAAGAGGGGGAATGTCTTACAGGCAGGTGCCAGTGCAGTGCCCAGAGAGGGCTGAGTGTTCAAACACCAACTCAAGCCACTCATGAATCCAAACAGGATGAGCAATTTCAGCTATTTCATCTGAATGTATTTGCTATGACCATAATCAGATGCTCAGCAGAAATCAATGAGCCTGAGATCAGCACCACACCAAGAAAGATGCACAAACTCCCCAGTTATGCTGTGAACAATTAAAATCACATAGCTAAGGGTTTGCAGATGATGAAACATTTCCAGAGTTCAAAATTAAACCTTAAAGTTGGACTTCACACCCAGCCTCAAGTTGTGCCAGGGAAGGTTTTTAGGTTGGATATTAGGAAACATTTCTTCATGGAACAGGTTGTCCAGCCTTGGTGGAGTCACCATTCCTGAAGGGATTTAAAAGCCATGTAGATGTGGCACTTGGGGACATAGTTAGTGGTGGCCTTGGCAGCTGGACTTAATTTTAAAGGTCTTTTCCAACCTGAAGGATTCCATGATTCCTGAAAAACATGTTTGTCTGCTCTTCTCCAGTGGAATTTAGACCTGTCACAAACCACTAAGAGCTCTGAAAGAGTATCCTCTCCCCAGCGTGGACAGATGCAGTGCAAAGCAAACAGCACTAGCAGCTATTTGCTGAGAAATGTTTGCTTTTTCCTCACAAAAC